ACGGTGCAAGAACAATAAATACAAATTTTAAAAAAAAAGTTAGTCGTCATGCACTTATATCCTTTGATAAACCAAATTAACTCCAACAAAGAGAAATACAAATGAATTTTTATATATAAACATGCATAAGAACTAAATTAATTTGTGATAAATAGTGTTAAAAGTTAGTTCAAAGCCAATGATTCGAAGTGTCGTAAGCACTAAACAGTTCTCTTTGAATAAATTAAATGATACAAGATTAGCTATGAGAAATAAGGTTAAACTTTTTTGTGAAGGATTTAGTGAAATCAAAGTCATGGTCCTTAAAGAGACCTTAGGTATAATTAGTATCTTGAAACTATTATTTTTTTTTTTTTGAATTTCATATATTACTTGGAACATTAAATAGAAAATATAAATGACATTTAAAATATAATAATTAAATGAAAATTATTTGTTGAGCAATTACTCACATTTAAATTTAATCTTATCCAAATAACATACTAAAGCTAAGAAAAATGTCATATAGACTCTGAGAAACTAATATAGCTTCATTCTAAAGTTTAAATTTCTTAAATAGCCTTAAATCTTCTAAACCAAAAGAGACTCTTAGGGCCAACCTTACCCCCACTCCTACTACTTTTAAAAAACATCAATTGATTTCTCATTACCCTAATCATACAATGACCTGCCCTTGCAACAAGTTTAAGCCCTTAGAAGAATTTATTTGGAAGCATCATCATAAGAGAAACTTTGACACAACCTTACTCCTTAACAAATAATACTTTCCTTATTATTTATTGAAACTCATGCGAGTAATATTTTATTTAGAGCCACAAGTGACTCGATCGATATGTCATGATTTTCGTAGATTCATGAGAAACAAATTTTAAATTTGTGATGGTGTATTCCAAACTATCACATTGCTTCTATTAAGTCGCCAAAAGTATCTATAATCAGTAACTAATGCTAAATAAGAATTAAATTTTTCAAATTGTTTGTTAGCCATCTTATATGATCATAGTCATGTGGTATAATCAGTAGATTTTCATATTGATTTAATATTATAATATATGATAAATATCATATAGTAAAATTCCATGATACTTCTAATTGTTTCGAATCATAGGCTGGTTAAGTATTTTTAATTAGATTGTATACCATACAATGGTTTATACACCATACAATATGATCACTACAGTACAATATTATTATGTCAAATTATAAATTAATTCAATGAATGCATAATTGATCATATTGAATGAATTCAATTTATAATATATTTTCCATTTCAGAAATCTATTCATTTATATTAATTTACTTAGCTAATCAGTTGTTCAAAATAATTGAACTTGATCTTATAATCCATGTTATATAGAAATAATAGTTTGATTTTTTTTTTTAAAGTACTTTTTATTTGTTTAATATGCAATTTTAATTACTATTCATCTTAAATTCTTCAGCGCCTTAAATAAGTATTTTTATTTAATGCCTTCAAATCAATTATAATTAATTTTTTCATGTTTTATTGAAACATTTATGGCATGTTTTAGTAAATTATTATTTTGCACTTATCACTAGGGCTGTCGAAACGGCTCGTTGTTCGCGAACGGCTCGTGTTCGGCTCGTTCGCTGAGTTAATGAGCCAAACACGAACAAAAATTTGTTCGTTCGTGTCGTCTTGTTTTGACTCGAAATACTACTTATCAATTATATATATAGGAGGATTTTTTAAAAAATTAATACAAGGCTACAAAAATTTATAATCAATTAAAGTATTAATTCAGAAAATATAATAAAAATTATTAGATTTGATTCAAATGACATTTTAATATAAACAATAATTTTTAAATCTTGCCACAACCCTTCACATCTTATGGTTACGTGATTAAGATTATCAAAACGTGTTCGTGAATAGCTCGTGTTCGGCTCGTTAAGCAAACTAGCTAAACACAAACACACTTTTTGAGCTCGAAATAAAAAATAACCGAACACGAGTTGAGTCTGGGTTCGCTCGTGTTCGTCTCGTTTACACCCCTGCTTATCACTTTAGCATATTGGCTAAATATAAACTCAAACAACTTTTCTCATAGCCATTAAAGATCTTGACTGTAGGATTATAGTAGGAATTTACTCCATTCTTTTCTATAAATTCATTTTCAATTCATCTTTCAAGTAAACAATGCTCCAAATTGATTTAAAACATAATGTTATCATTAAGCTGGCTCTGCTAATGCACATGTAACATGTGGCCCGTAGAAATATATAGAAAAGCAGACTAAATGCTAATCATTTAAGTATTGTAATCATCAATTTAATTGTCAGCCGCATGTAAGTCATGAGCTCACAAGCTCAATAGAAAAATACCTTTCATTACATCAATTGAAATTAATAGCACCAATACTTTACAATTAAATGTCTTCTTAAAAATATCATTTATATTATTAATTTTGATAATAAAAGCAAATTAAAATTTGATTTTAGTTACATCGGTAGTGCATCTAACACAATTAACTATATAAATTTACTCGGTCACTGTTTCATTGCATTATATTGAACTATAAGTAAAATATATATATATATAAATAATTAGAAGAAAAAAAATGAGTGGCAAAGATGTAAAAAGGAAGTGTGGCACAGCAAAACTGCTGCTATTACTTCTATCCAACGAAAAATCTATCAATAATTTTGCGTGCTCTGCTTTCTTGGCATGAAGAGCAACTATGAGTGACATGAAGCCTCGCCAAAAAGTCCTAATAATAACAATACAAGAAGAAAGAGCACTCAAATACCTAAAATAACGGTTTGGGAAGTCTACTACATAACATCAACAGTACTAGTTGCATCGACATGAAGTACTGTACATTGATAGCCAGCCATGAAATTAGTCGCACAATTCTAAAACCCGCATATTAAACCCCCATGTCAGGAGCTTCTGTATAAAGGGCCAAAATGACAACTTTCGGGTTCAACCACTGGTTAACGATCGGCGTTGATTCCGAAGATACGGACCTTGTGCATGTATGGGAACTTGGCTACCACCAAAATAATCACTGCAACTGTATTCAGAAATAGCATAGGCTGCTGATAGTCTGTTGTGTGTGAAGCTATCAAATATCTGCAAAAAAGAAGTATGAGCATTGTTGCAACAACAGGAGTGTGTTTATATTTTGAAACTTGTTGACCATAAAATAAAAAAATAATAATAAAATAAAAAAAATTATATAATTCTTATAACTGCTCCCCCTAAAACCTCAATAGCATACGCACACAATAGGAACCAGAGCAACATCCCTATTTCCAAGACGACCTGAAAATCTGATCCTTACCCTCCCGACCTCCACTTCTCTATTTGAAACTTACGACAGAAGTTCTCCTCGCCTACCCTTCTCACCGGTGACCTCTTTCTCCAACCAAGTATCTGCTTTCCTGTGCCATTTCCCTCGTGATATAGTCGTGAATAAAGTTAGCGGGAAGCAAGGATGAGATCTACAAAGGCCTCCGAAACTCCCAAATCTACATGTGCTCATGCGAACCAGGCCTCGCTCCAGCCTTTGACTTATCTGCCATCTCCTTTCCCCATTGTGACCGAAACCCTTGCAATACACTCACAGCTAGAGGCATCGAGGAAAGCAACAATGGAATCGCCGCCTATGAAGACCTTCGGAACTCCCAATTTCCCTATTCATTCTTACACTCCAGTCACGAAAAGAAGCTCCCTGATTTCTCCTCCTAAGTTGCACCATTTTCCAGCCCTAGCCGTTCTTCTCCCTCGCATTACCAAAAACAAGATTGCAGTGTACAAAGAGTTCCAGAACGCCTGCCTTTTTTTTTTTTATGTCTCCTGTTCACGGCGGTTGCACTTATCACTAGGGCTGTCGAAACGGCTCGTTGTTCGCGAACGGCTCGTGTTCGGCTCGTTCGCTGAGTTAATGAGTCAAACACGAACAAAAATTTGTTCGTTCGTGTCGTCTTGTTTTGACTCGAAATACTACTTATCAATTATATATATAGTAGTATTTTTAAAAAATTTAATTGACTACAAGGCTACAAAAATTTATAATCAATTAAAGTATTAATTCAGAAAATATAATAAAAATTATTAGATTTGATTCAAATGACATTTTAATATAAACAATAATTTTTAAATCTTGCCACAACCCTTCACATCTTATGGTTACGTGATTAAGATTATCAAAACGACTTTTTGTTCGTGAATAGCTCGTGTTCGGCTCGTTAAGCAAACTAGCTGAACACAAACACACTTTTTGAGCTCGAAATAAAAAATAACCGAACACGGGCTGAGTCTGGGTTCGCTCGTGTTCGGCTCGTCTACACCCCTGCTTATCACTTTGGCATATTGGCTAAATATGAACTCAAACAACTTTTCTCATAGCCATTAAAGATCTTGACTGTAGGATTATAGTAGGAATTTACTCCATTCTTTTCTATAAATTCATTTTCAATTCATCTTTCAAGTAAACAATGCTCCAAATTGATTTAAAACATAATGTTATCATTAAGCTGGCTCTGCTAATGCACATGTAACATGTGGCCCGTAGAAATATATAGAAAAGCAGACTAAATGCTAATCATTTAAGTATTGTAATCATCAATTTAATTGTCAGCCGCATGTAAGTCATGAGCTCACAAGCTCAATAGAAAAATACCTTTCATTACATCAATTGAAATTAATAGCACCAATACTTTACAATTAAATGTCTTCTTAAAAATATCATTTATATTATTAATTTTGATAATAAAAGCAAATTAAAATTTGATTTTAGTTACATCGGTTTGAATTATTTTAACAAGGAACCATAATGCTTTAATACTTCATTAACCAACATAACATTGCCCACTGCTCCAAATAGCAAGTTTATACCACCCTGTAGTTACATCGGTAGTGCATCTAACACAATTAACTATATAAATTTACTCGGTCACTGTTTCATTGCATTATATTGAACTATAAGTAAAATATATATATATACATATATAAATAATTAGAAGAAAAAAAATGAGTGGCAAAGATGTAAAAAGGAAGTGTGGCACAGCAAAACTGCTGCTATTACTTCTATCCAACGAAAAATCTATCAATAATTTTGCGTGCTCTGCTTTCTTGGCATGAAGAGCAACTATGAGTGACATGAAGCCTCGCCAAAAAGTCCTAATAATAACAATACAAGAAGAAAGAGCACTCAAATACCTAAAATAACGGTTTGGGAAGTCTACTACATAACATCAACAGTACTAGTTGCATCGACATGAAGTACTGTACATTGATAGCCAGCCATGAAATTAGTCGCACAATTCTAAAACCCGCATATTAAACCCCCATGTCAGGAGCTTCTGTATAAAGGGCCAAAATGACAACTTCCGGGTTCAACCACTGGTTAACGATCGGCGTTGATTCCGAAGATACGGACCTTGTGCATGTATGGGAACTTGGCTACCACCAAAATAATCACTGCAACTGTATTCAGAAATAGCATAGGCTGCTGATAGTCTGTTGTGTGTGAAGCTATCAAATATCTGCAAAAAAGAAGTATGAGCATTGTTGCAACAACAGGAGTGTGTTTATATTTTGAAACTTGTTGACCATAAAATAAAAAAATAATAATAAAATAAAAAAAATTATATAATTCTTATAACTGCTCCCCCTAAAACCTCAATAGCATACGCACACAATAGGAACCAGAGCAACATCCCTATTTCCAAGACGACCTGAAAATCTGATCCTTACCCTCCCGACCTCCACTTCTCTATTTGAAACTTACGACAGAAGTTCTCCTCGCCTACCCTTCTCACCGGTGACCTCTTTCTCCAACCAAGTATCTGCTTTCCTGTGCCATTTCCCTCGTGATATAGTCGTGAATAAAGTTAGCGGGAAGCAAGGATGAGATCTACAAAGGCCTCCGAAACTCCCAAATCTACATGTGCTCATGCGAACCAGGCCTCGCTCCAGCCTTTGACTTATCTGCCATCTCCTTTCCCCATTGTGACCGAAACCCTTGCAATACACTCACAGCTAGAGGCATCGAGGAAAGCAACAATGGAATCGCCGCCTATGAAGACCTTCGGAACTCCCAATTTCCCTATTCATTCTTACACTCCAGTCACGAAAAGAAGCTCCCTGATTTCTCCTCCTAAGTTGCACCATTTTCCAGCCCTAGCCGTTCTTCTCCCTCGCATTACCAAAAACAAGATTGCAGTGTACAAAGAGTTCCAGAACGCCTGCCTTTTTTTTTTTTATGTCTCCTGTTCACGGCGGTTAAGACTGTCCCTACTTGTCCGTGCTTCACCACTCCACTTGTCCAAGCAACTACTTTCCCGAGCCACTACCCTACTCTGCGTGTTGTCCGTGTGCTTCACCACATCACTTACCCAATCAAGCACTTGCCCGAGCAACTATCCAACAATATACAGTGCCTTCCTCTCATATTCCGTGCATCCTGCGGCAATTATTCAATAGACCATAATCCAGTCATTTCTATTCTCTGTTCAACCCCAACAGAGATCCAAAGCAGTTCCTGGCCCACTTCCTCACTACCGTGAACTCCGCTCTCTGTTAATTAGAGCCTATAAACCAAATACTTTATAATATATATTATATTATATAGTATATATTATATTAAAGAAAAAAAAAAGAGGGAAGAGAAAGAATTTGTGTCAGAAATTGTGTTCTTATTATATTTATGCAGGAAAATCAAAGACCACACACATCTTCTAGATCGTTCATTAGAAGATCCACTTTAAGGCAACTGTATCCCGTGACATTGATCAGCATGTCTTATAGGTAGTTGGGCAAGCCACACAACCTCAAAACAGGTGAATAAAAAGATAAATTTTTGCTATCGGATTCACAATATATTTGCACACAAAGAGAAGACCGCATTTAAAAAAACTTAAAATGAAAACTTTCAGGCATAAATATACTCATTCAAGTAAGATTAAGTTATACAAATTTAAGACTTAAATTTGTCTTTTTTTAAAAAAAATATTGATTCAGTACATGCTTTAGTATCATATTAATTGTCCTAAGCTACACATAGTTATTTAAAATAATCAAATATATGAAATTAAAAACTCCCATTTGCTCCACCAAATTGACTAAATATTTAAACTTGCATGGTTTTAGAATATTGCAGAGGTTAGAGTTAAGCTTAAAATCGAATGGTTCTTACTCAGATATGCGTGCAAAATACTTTTAAGAAAACTTAAAATTATTTTAAAGTTAAGACCCCTCAAGTTTTAAATTCAAATTCAAGATGATTATGGCTACGTACATTTTCAATCGGACTACTTTGTAAGTCCCACCAAACTAGTCTAATCTTCTTTTAAAATAATAGAGCTGACCAGTCTAATAAATTTAAAATAATGTCCAAATCACAAGTATAAGAATTTACACGTCTAAAACACCTAATCTGATCCTCTTTATAAAGATTAAAGTTGGTAAGACCTTTATTTAAAAAGGCATTACTAGGGCAAGTAACCCCCCCTTCTCTGGCTGGAAAAACCGAACGCGGCGCTACTTAGTAACCCCCCCTTCTCTGGCTGGAAAAACCGCGTTCTTCTCTGGCTGGAAAAACCGAACGCGGCGCTACTTCTGTTCTTGCACCTGCAACTCGTGTTTTGGTCAGAATTATAAATGAGATTTTTTACTGTGTTACTAATGGATTTTCACTATAGCTTCAGTGAGTTTACTGTAGCTACAGTAAACCACAAATTTTTTTTCATATTTGTTAGAGATCACACAAATACGCAATCCATTAACACGCAAGATTTTTTTCATGTTAGCTAAAGATGGATTTGATCTATTTTTTTTATTTTAATGTGTACCCTCCTAATATTTAAATTCTTTATTTTTTTATACTGTGAGGCTCATGCCCTACGCCTTGCCCCATAACAGTTAAAACACCCTACCCAATGCCAACGCATTTTAAAAGATTGGATAAAACTAACACTATAAATATTCAAGTGTTCAATTTCAGATGAATTTCAAACATAAATGTTTTAAATGTCCAAATTCCCTGATGATGATCGAGTTGATAGAAGATTACAACCAGAGGGGTCTGTGTTCAAAATTAAATTTCAAAGTCTATTTGAATAAATTCAAATAATATATATATGAATTTGATTCTCTGTAAGCAGGACAAAATTGACAAGGTTCATATATAAACATGTGTCAATACTAAACCAGATCCTTTACGAGCAAAAAGTAAAATTGATAGGGCTCAAATCAAGACTTTAAATCCCCGACGATGGTCATGTTGACTAAAAATCTTAACCGTAATAAGTCAATTTTCCAATCAAGTTATTAAATAACAAATCAAGACATTCAAATTAAAAACAATCACTTAAAGACTTAAAGAAAACTTTGTCCACTCTCTGTACTGTTTGTCGAGGGGTGATAAACTTTTGATTGACTTTAGCTAGAAAAAAAAAAAACTAATCACATGTTGAGTGCATCACTATATTCACATTTAAAGAAATTTTATACTAGTAAGAACAAGACCCGAGTCCTCTGTTCACATAATTTTGCCTCCAAATGATATTACAAAGTAATAGTTATGACCAGACCTCTTTGATCGGGTGGTTGTCACCAAATGACACTATTATATTACGGTGACGGTCACAGCCCCTATGTTCTCAATAGTTTTCTACCCTTATTGTGAACCATAAATGTACAATTGATTGGCACAAAAACTTATGTTAGCTAAGCTTTACTTAAATTTGTCCTCTTAACAAATATTCACCCCAAATTTACAAGTCCATTGAACAATGCAACTAATGGTTGCTGATAGGATCTTTCGGTGACATTGGGTTGACTACCCCACCTGACTAGTTAGATCAGGAACCACGACGACCCGAAACGACATAACCATATTGATCAGACTCATCATCATTGCCCCCACCATTTGCTTAAAGGTCAAGGCAATAAATTTTATAATCTAAATCTTAAGTTTGTTGCTACTATATGCTAAAATAGTTCACACTAAATGACTAGCCTTAATCGAAAGTTCTCTCTTGTTATCAGGAGGTGTAATTAATCATAAGGACTTGCGCCTATGAGAAATCTCGAACCCCATATCAAAAAGTCCTTGCAAAAGAAGAGTGAAATCTCTCGACAGTGTCTTGTCTACAGTACAATTTGTCTTTTAAAAATTTCATCATCAATGCTCTCAACAACACATAAACAGAAAGTTTTGGAACCCACAAACCTTTGAATGGCAATATTCTACACTGTGAATCATATATGTGCGAAGGCAAGCACGTCCAATAATGATGAAGGCAAGGGTAAGATTATATATAAGTAGAAATTGAGGGGAGTGAGTTGTAGAGATCATAAATATGATTCATCTTCATATATAATCAACTAGAGTATTATATGGCTGCCACATGGCATAATTTTGAAGTTGAATTTAAATATATTTAAAAACTATTACATCAAGCATATCATTACAACTTTGTTTGAATATGACTAGCTAAAACAATGAGAATGTTGACGGAGAGAATCAAAAACTTCAAAGTGACAAATATGCATCAACCACAAAAACAGATAAGCCTTAGGAAGTGTTTGGTTTGCTGAAAAAGTGACGTAGTGTAAAATGAATATAATACATGAGTGCTATATTGTATTTAAAATAATTTGGAGTTATTTGGTTCGGTGTAGAACATTAAAATGATTTTTTTTTTTGAAAATAAAAATAAAAATAGCATATTTCAAAGTAATGTATATGTCGAAAACGGTGACCAGCAGCAAACTGGGCAATGTTGGTGGCCTGTAGTGGCTAAAGGCTACTGGCGGCGGCGGGCGGCGGCTAGGAGTTGTTGCAGGCAATAGCAGGAGGCCGACAATGAGCAGCAGGAGGCGGGCGGCCAACAAAGGCAATGGTGGTCGGTAGTGGCCGCCGACGGCGAAGAACGGGGGGGGGGGGGATGACGGGTGGCGGTGGAAACTAACAACGATGGAGGCAGGGGCAGTGGCCATTGGCGATCGAAGATAGCAATCTACTCGGCGGAGAACAACATTTTAAATTAAATTGTATGTTTTATATTTGGCCAAATTGATTGAATTCTAAATTCAGAGAAAATAAAATAAGAGCTGAATTTCAAATACAATGCAAATTTACATTGAGGCTCCGTTTGGGGCCGCTTTTTACGAGCGGTGCGGACCCAAATCGTAATTTTTTCCCGTTTGACTCCCACCTTCGAGGGTCGAAGGAAGCTGAAGCGAGCGGAAAGCCGGCCGAGGGATTGACCCCGCGGCCCAGCTTTCGCTTCTCGCGTTCGTGGATAACGTTCGATAATACCCTACGATCCTCCCCGACGCAACAGAGCCGAAAGCCCCTTCCCTCTGTTGTCCCAATTTTGTTCGACGAACATAAAGAATGTCGAGGGTTCCTTCACGAAGGACATGATTTTGGACCAAATCGGGAGAAGAAAAGGGAGACATTGCCGGAGAATATGGCAAGGAAGAGGAAACGGCTGAAAAAGCTGAGGCTGAGCTTTGTTAAGAAACCGAAATCCAA